TCCTTACCACCCTGACTTCCTCCTTGGCTCGGTGTAAGGTCCTCAACATGTTCACGCAAACCAGCAGCATCCACATCAAACTGATTTTCAACATTAGCAAATTCACCATCAGCAACATTAACTAAAGCCTCAACTTCTTCTGATGTTTCCCTGTATACAGTCATGATACATTCATTAACCTTATCTCTTCCATTAGAAAGCATCTCATCGTTACCAAACATCTCATCGTCACCAAGCATCTCATCATTACAAAATATATCATCATTATTTCCACCAAATTCACTTTCCCTTTCTCGCTCCACTCTTGAAAATTCTTCTCCCCACTCATTTTCTCCCTCAACTCTACAAACATCCACATACAAAACATTCCTACATAGCTCTTTACTCATTTCCATCAAATAACAATAAACACCATCGTCATCATAAATATAAGATGGTTTCTTACTCAAGACTATTTGAAAGTAACTCAATTTAACTTTCCTTTCTTTATATAGATGAATCTTCTTCATTATACTGTCATAATGTCCTCCATACTCAAAATGTATTATTGTGCAATGGTTGTTATTCATTGTCACCTGAAAATTAATCAAAATGGATTCACTCAAACTCAAATTCCCAATATCATTATTTCAAACTAAAGATCCACTAACTTTATCTACGAATCCACATAAACGATTCAAAACTTATGGCCTAATGAACTCAAACGCACTCACAATCAGATAGAATCTTACAATCTATACCTACAATCCATCAATTCACAAAATTACGAGGCAAACAAAACACAAATTCATAGAAACCAAGACAAATCGATCCAAATCAGATACTCCAATCAATATACTCCCATTTCAATAATTTAGTATAAAGTCGACTGAGATGTACCCGATCTGCGATGGACACAATGACGTAGCTGCAAGAAAACGACAACAGATCTGCTCGGAATATAGCTGCAATCCGCCCGACAATGCGGAGCTTCTGGAATGCGACGACGTCGTATACTCTCTGGTGGCGACGGCGACGTATACGGATGATGTTCTACGTTCCTCCTCCTCCGATGGATTGACGGATTGATTTTGGTTCGGGATTGATTTTCGATCGGGATTTTGTTTTTCTTCAAGCTTAAAAACAAAAATCAAAAAACATATATAAACAAAAGAAATTTTCTGATTGGTTGTTGAATACTGCATTCTTATTGGCTCAGAATGTAGTTTTTAATCTGTTTTTAAATTAAAACGAAGGGCAAAACCAGCAACACATTAAAATGAACGTAAAGAGAATAGAGAAGGCTACAACTGAATTCAGTCCCACCTAGAAGGGTATTCGAGCAATTGAATGATGACACATTTTAAGAAAAAAATAATATTAAAAATAAAAAAGTAACAATATAATTGTCAATTAACTCACCAAATAGTAAAAAGAAAAATTTTCTTATAATTCAAACTAATAAGAAAAAAAGAAATTTTAAAACATACCAAATTAATTATAAACAATATATATATATACTATAATCTGTAGAAATAAAACAAAATTTTCAATAACCAAAAAGGCGAATGATGTCAGGAGTCTTGTAGTCAAGTGGTAAGGAGACGGGCTTGTGATGCC